CATGGTAATATCGATGATGATCAAAATGCAATGGCTAACTTTGTCACTGACATGTTCTTTCTTTCTTTTTTTTCCGATTAGACTTTCCCTGTACAATTGTTATTTGCACGATGATAATTCAATAGATTCCTTTCGAGAAATTGAGAATTGGAAGTTGACGACACAACGACAGCACGTTATCCAATTAAGTCTAGGAAACTTATCTTCTTTTTGCTCGATCGAATATTTCATATGAAAAGAAGAAATGGTTGATAATCATGCAGCGACGAAGTAGAACAAATTAGACGCACATCACATCGATCTCTCTTTTTTCTTTTTTTCCCTTCGCACAAGTGATCAATGATTTGAAGACATCATGCTGAGTATGTGTTCACTCTGGCTAAATTAACATCGTTAAACTTGTCAAGCAATGTAGCAAGCAGGACATACACTCTAGATAAAATTAATCACATACACATCGTCATTTGGAGTAGTGTTGTTGTTCGCGCATAAGGATGAATGCGAAAGAAGAGGGAGAGAGTGAGAAGATGTGCATGTGTAAAGCGGCAAAACTTAATCGAGAAAAGAAGAAGGAGAAACATACAAAATTTGATTTAGATATATTTATTCTTTGATTAGATTGCACATCACCAAATGAAACAAGTCCAATAATTAACGATGATGACGATGAAAATAGTAGTCAAAGTAGCATAGAAAGTACCAATGATGAGCAAGAGCAACTTGTTCAACCGAAAGAAGAGCCGATTTTGAATTACTACAATTCACTAGTACCACCGAAAACAGCATCGAATGCAGAAAATCCATTTGGAATTCTTTCCATGTGTTTACCCTCTTCTTCCTCTTCATCATCATCATCGCCCTCAAAAATGGTTCGACCTCATTCATTCACGAATCATCGATATGCTGTTGTTCAGCCGTATCCCATTTCTCCTCATGCCTATTTTGCTAACATGGCAAAGTATACCGAGGCAGCCGCAGCCGCTGTCGTCGCTGAACAACAACGGAATCAACAAGCAGCTAAACTTGCTGCAGCTGCTGCGGCAGCGGCGGGTGTTATGGGTAGTGGTGCCATATCCACCAATCACAACATTGGAAATAATCTAGTTTGTGCAGTTTGCGGAGATATTTCAAGTGGCAAACACTATGGTATATTAGCATGTAACGGGTGTAGTGGCTTTTTCAAACGAAGTGTTCGACGAAAATTAATCTATCGGTATGTGCTTAAAGAGAAGGAAACACATCGAATGTACATGTTTTATTCTTCTTAGATGTCAAGCGAACACAGGGATGTGTATTGTTGATAAAGCACATCGTAATCAGTGTCAAGCTTGTCGACTTAAAAAAGTAAATAAAAAAAGAAGAGAAAGTGTATGAAACGTTGTGATATAATCATTTGTATATATGTTTCTTTAGTGTCTACAAATGGGAATGATAAAAGAAGGTAAGTGCGCAAGTGTTGAATTTGAAAGAGACATACAATGTAATTATATCTTGTATTT